GCGTTGTCTTTATTCACCACGTTCGCAGGACGAGACAAACACACGCAGGAGTCCTGACGCTCGCTGATTGCTTTTAGCCGAAATGGATCAATTCAGACTATGGCGCTATATTTTCTTGACTCCTAAGGGATTATTCCACAAAGTCGCTAGATTTCTTCGCTTGTTTGGAGCTCATTAATATTTTGTAATCCCCATTTACAATAAAAGGTCGGGACCGATCGTAGAGATATTTCTATTAATCACGAATTTGGGACTTATGGCTTCCAACTTTTGGTATTTACAAAAACGTACAACACGAGGGCCTATTTTGCATAGAGGCGGGCGGCTATATTCACGGACCCGAGTGCATAGTTTCACAACCATTTTGGGTTTTTTCAGGGAAGGGCGAATAAAACCATACTAGAGAGCTATAGCTCTACGATAAAACAAGTTTCGTGGCTAGCCCTTTTAAAATTGAAAGACTAAAGCTAATTTTGTGGCCACAATATTGAATTTGCATGGAAACACGCGAAGCCACTCTCTTCCTGAGGGTCACCAGGCGGTGCTATTTCTATCCTATTTTGTACTTTTTTTCTACAGGCGCGAACTATTATTTGTGTAGCGCAACCTGTACAAAGCGGTTTGTCTGGAAACGGCGCCCTCCAACAGTGATGATCGCGCAATACAGTATAGGCCTGCAGGGGTCTATAATTGAACCAAGACTAGGCTAGTTGGGGATGTAAACCACGAACGTATATAAAAAAAACCCTGGACTTGCAACGCCTTTGTATGAAATAGAAGCCAACCAGCGGCCATTTTACCGATCCGAATACAAATACGCGAGGTTTTCAGCTGTACATACAGTGAGCTATCAACAATACTATCCCCCGCACCGCATAGATGACGAACTCATTACATATTTTCTGCTAAGTGCATGTAGTTGAGTTCACAACGTAATTTGCAAGCAGGCAATTCGCGATCCGAATCTAGGGGAAAAGCGTTCAATCTTTGGCCAATTTTGAACAAACGGAAACTCAGAAAGTCATTTTAATTAAACAGACATTAAATGCAAAAGTTTATATGACTTTTGAGTATGAAAAACAGTATTTGGAATCACACGTAGTGAGTGACCCATCTCCCCGTAAATTTTTGTCGATTTTTTGGCTCCCGTGATTTTGACACACCGTTCAAAAATGTCGAAGAGCGAATCTGGTCAAAGTGTTACCTGGCCAAAATTTCTTTTCCAGAAAATTCTGAGAACAAACGTTGAACAAAAAGCTTACATGTCCCCTTTTCAAGCAGAACTTGATTTGGAATGTAGCACTGAAGAACAGCACAAAAGAGGTAGGTTTTTATTTCAAGCGATCAGAAACTAGGAAAACGATTTCAATGAGTACACGTAACCTAATTTACGCAACAGAAAAGCTATTCTTTTCGCACAACAATCAACTTGAAAATAAGTGTGTACCCGAAGGACAGGCCTAACTAACTATCTAGCTGCATCGTATCATTAGGGAGTCTAGGTTACGTACCATGTGTTTGTACACAAAAATGATCCATGCCCACAGCACATGCACGTCACGAGTACTCACGATAAAAATTTTTTTGGGGGAAATAAAAGTTAAGAAAACTGACTCAAAACGGGCGGTCTTGAATCAGTCTCGACTGATTCTTCGAGTCCAGAGGGTGCCGAGGCTGAGGCTAAGACCGAATCATTGCGTAGCGAGGCCAAGACCAAGATTTTGAAAAATAAGCCTCGAGGCCAGGCTGGCCTCGAGACCTGTCCTCCAACACTGACTGACATTAAGCACTCAATCACTGATTTCCTCAGTAGATTCAAACTTAATGTAATCTACTGTACAACCTGTACACAATATCGTTTGTTTGACACCTGCTCCCAGCCACGAGAGGTTTAGAGCATGCACAAATTTGTCGGCTTCTGGCTTCAGTGAGCATTGTGTGGGTGAACCCAACATGCTAAGTTAACACAATTAAACGTGTGTGGTGAAAGCATTTTTTTGTCTTTTTCCCATTTCCATGTCAAATTATTTTTAATGTCCTATCTCCAAGTTTTCAATCTCGATTTTGTTCGTTTGCCCTTAGTTTTCTTTTCTACTTAAATGTCCTTAAGGATTCTTTTCTTTTCACAGTCGTTTTGTATTCCCGTTTTTTAGTTTCCATTTATTGTTGACTAAATCATTTATATAAGAAAACTACTTTAGCAACATGTGCTGTGCAAAAGATGGCACAAAACAAAAAGGTTGCCCAAATAAATTCTAATTCATTGTATATTGGTTTTTGGGTGGCCAAACTGTCTCCAAAACTCAAGATGTCGAAATATTTAAAGCCTTTTTTTTGAAAAAAAAATGGAACATAAAAGTGAGACTGCATTTTTCAAAACCAATTGTGGAAACTGTTTTCTTACAGTGATTTGATATATTCTATGTAAAATTGCATTTATTGTGACGATTGCCCATGACATGTCATCCTTTTATTTGCCAAAGGAAGATGCCAAACCGGTGGTCAAGAAAACAATTTAGAAACTATTTTCCTTCTTTCAATACATGGAAATCTTTAGGTTGCAATAAAATTCAAATTCATAATTAAATTGTCATGAAACTTTTATTGCAAAGTGAAGCTTTCCATGTCAAACATTCTACAGTGTACAAAATATGCGATACATTTAGAAAACAGCCTGTGAAAATCCCCAGCCAAGTCTGCACCGTCCCCCAAAGTCAGAATGAACGAATAATTTTTGTACGTGCGCTGCCTCGACGCCACACTATGGGTGCGTTCGATTAGCTTCCCTGAACACACCAGTGTTACACCAAGGGAAGCCTCGAAATGAGGGTAATCGAACGCTGCAGGGTGCAGTGTCCCAATTCAAGGAAAATTCTCCGCCAGGCGGAGGCGCACAAAAAGTACCCCCCAGAGATTGTTTCAAAAAGAGGGGTCTGTTTGAGCCAAGAAATGGTGGGATTGTGTCAGTATGGCCCACGATCATCTCTGTAGATTCAGGGGCACCCATCTGGGGGCAAGGCAGACAAACATGGGATTGAAATTAAGAGCCCCAGGAAGGTGAGGGATGTCATTTGAAAACTGGCCGCTGGGAGGGCTTGGCAACATTCACTTTTTGGGGGGTGAGTTTGTTTTGGGCGGATGATTAAAAAATTCATTGGTTAACCTACTAAAATTGAAAATCGAATGAAACCTAAAGGACCAAACAACACATTGTTTTTTGTTTGAGAGGCC